GCGAATGGGGCTCCTGGGTTTCACGTCTTGACTTTCAGCGGCGTGGTTCCAGTAGAAGCAATTGGACTTATCGCCTGGTGGGCATATCAAAACATTGCCTTCACAGAGTGGTACATCATTCATGCTGAGTCCCTGGCGATCACCTTCCTTGAGGTAAGTATCCATACTCCTTTCCTATTTGCTAAATGGTACCGAAAATATCGAGTATAGAGTTCACTTTCCTCTTTTCCCCCCCATTTTAGTGGGCTATCTTGGCGTTTCTAGTTGGTACAGTCAATCTCATGGTCACCATCTTCAAAGTGCCAGTTCTAAAAGCCTCCGCCAGCGTGGGCTACGACCCCTACCATCCAGAGACTATTCCTTTACCTACACAATGCCACAGTACGGTGGAGGTGCCCATATATTCACATGACCGCCTCTGTGATGACTCCGAATGTGGAAAATCACAACCTTAGTATCAGTCGCTTCATGCGCTTCCCTCTTTTAAATAGTAAAGCAGTTTGCTCAAGCAAAACACTTAGATACATTTATTTGTAGTGAAGACTCATCCACTTGCTACTGTGGGTCTGGAAGCATGCTATGCTAGGTTATCACCCAAGACCCTTTTTTTTCTAACCCTTTGAACGGTGAAATATGCACATTCTGATTTAATGTAGGAGATTTTGTTTGCTAGATAAATATCAACGTCATTAGATGGTTTTACCGGCAAATCTTTTTAATATACGGAAGCTGAAGTTGGTTTGAAACACTTGCTGACGGAACTTTAGAGGCAATTTGACCTCCGCAGACTTGTCGTTCCCACCATATCTCCTTTCCTCACAAGTAGATATGTCACATATCTGCAATTTGTGAGTTTAGGCCAGAAATTTTGGAGTGTGATATAAATGCTACGTTGGTGGGGAACGCGTCGATCATGATGTGGACCTATTTCCTGATCTTGATCTATTGTAGCGCCCCATGACTTGCCCGAAGGCGAAAGAAGGCACAATACTGTCCACTCGTCTGGCTTAGAGGCCATGCCACGGCGTGGAGATACTACCCAAAGTCTCGTCAACATCTACAAATACAGCAATTTAAAGTAAACAAACTGATTTCAAAATCCATAGGCTCGTGTTTTGCAATCACAGGTATATACTACTTAATTCAGTAGCGTGTGCAGAGGATAATTCCCCGACAAAATATCCGTCAACTTCAAATTCCAACAGCCAGGGGCATGTATTCTGCCAAAGGTCAAGATCAAATCAATCTGGCCCAATAGGAATCCGACTAGTTATTTTATCCCTTTGTAGCCTTCAGAGGCTATGGAGGGAAAGTAAAATTTGAAAGAGCGAATCTAAGGAATCGCTTTGAAGGATTTGCATCTACAAGTGTTAAAGGTGGTTGATTTAGAACTCCCACGCACTCTCGAAGTCGAAAGACCTTGTAGTAGTACAGCAGAAAATGTTTTGTTGACGCATAGAAGATCGAAGTCTACTTGTCTGGTGCGGAGGGCATGTCACCGAGCGGAAGGAAAATCTGCAGCGATTTATGTGCCTGCGTAATCAAACGCGATGCCAAACAAGCAATTAAAGCATGACATAGTTTCCCTATTCTTCGGAGTGTCATGCCCTGCGCCGCTCTAAGGAGAATCGCTCACGAACCAACCCCGTCAGTCATCGAAGTTGCGTACTGCTTAGAAAATATTCGATCACAACGTCACCAACTCCTCTTGGCGATTCCACAGGATCTGATATTTCGTCCCAATCGGGACCTGTATTGAGGGAAGAGGGGATGTGCTGGCCATCTCACGTGTCCATCGCTATTCGTAAGAAAATTGACCTAAAAACAAATTTATGTAACAAAGGTCGGGATCTAGCATAGCTCCATGCGGATAAGGCTTAACGTCTGTTCCCCCTTATAACTTTGTTCTCATTCGAGTGCTGCCCAGCCATTTATCTATTGAGATTCCAACTAGCTGGCAGATAGTTGGAGGAGGTATCGCGTAGACAGCCCTGTACTGAACTTTTCCAGATTATTTACGGTCAGTGTCTATTCAGTTGTTAGTAGTTTTCCACAGAACACGGACTGGGGCGGCTGCCAAAGGTAGGCGTCGCTTTGAATGAGTCCGCAGCATATGCGCTTCTTCTGTCACGTCAAGTTTTACCACTCAGTGATGGAAATCAGGGTAGTTGTCTTTTGGGACCGGGTTCGCTTTCCACTGTCCCTAATATGGCTTCTCACACCCTCCCTGAAGTCGTAAGAAGTCACAGTGGTGAGGCGGAAGATATAGTGCTGCCATGCAGAAGGACGAAAGTACAATTTATGGAGAGTTAAATGTCCACGTAGCCAAACGTAGAGTTAAATAAACCATCGAAGCTTCACAGGCAAACTGTCGAAATTCTCCTTTGTTTTCATCGCCACAAAAAACATGATATTTTTGTACAAATGCATTAAAGGGCGCAGATTTAAGGATACATTTTAGTTAAAAATAAGTAATTGAGGATAACAGTGCTAATAACGAAAAGCGCAGCTACAAACAATTATAAATTGGCATTTACGATTGTGGTCCTGGATTCCTTCGATCCCCTAACCAGAGATAAGAATGGCGACACAGATGTCCCTACTTGCCAATGAATACAAGCAAGCAAGGCGATACGGAATGTGGTTACAGGACGACACGATGGTCACTCTAGAGCGTAGGTGGCTGTCAAAATCTCCAACCGGTGTCTATTTCACCTATTGATTGCACTTGATAGACCTTGGCCCGAAAGAGCATTGGCTCACTGTAGGTGACATTAGCCAATCAGGAGGGAGGTAGCAAGTGAACAACCTTCAAGGGCGTTCAGGCGATAGACGTGGGAGAAAGAAGCTCCAAAAACTCCAAATGATAACAATTTTTGGAATCGTAGACATATTTTTTAGTAAAACACATCAGTGGATCCTCAGTGAGACGTTGAGATCATTAGAGCTAGTATTTTCCTGGCTTGGGATACGGTACCATTCAAACTATGGAGTGACCTTGTAGCTTCATGGAACGTATAAGCTTAATTATGGGAACATTAAAATGACAGCCGGTGGATCAAAATTCTACTACTTTGTTATGATGATCAGAAGCAAGGAAAATATAGCTTTTGGGGAAGACTAACATCGCACACCTTCCCCATATGCTTTCTTCAGCCTTCCACCCGTGGTCATTCTCTTGGCTTGATTAATGCAAGATCCGGAGAATCAATCAAGTAGGTCACCTGTTTTACAATCATCGTGATACCATAAAACAAGTCGTAGACACGATCATAAATCTTGAACCTTGCCGACTCCTGTCTCGGTGAATTTATCGCCTGGTGCACATGACAAGGCACACGTGATACAAGGTAGGGGGAAAAATTTTCACATTTACTTCATTTTTCTTGGGGTAAATTGCATTTGATACAGGCTACACTGCTCGCCTGCTTAGACATTAACACCCAGCTGGTGGTACGATGCTATGATTGAAACGTGAAGGAGATTCGTTTGAACGTTCCGGAAGTCATCTCTCTCTCTCTCTCTCTCTCTCTCTCTCTCTCTCTCTCTCTCTCTCTCTCTCTCTCTCTCTCTCTCTCTCTCGTTCTTTGCCAAAAACGGAACATTTTCTAGAGCTGATTGTAGGTTTCGATAAGTAATGAAGTAAGGCGCATTAAACTGCCTTTAGTGGGGCAAGTTTTCTTTGTTTCATGCCTTGAATATGGGCGCCTTTAGTCTAAGATAAGAGCGAATAGAAGATTTCCGGAGAGTAGGTGGTTTTGTAAGGATTGCCACTCAATTTCGGATTCCAAGTTATGACTCCAGATTTTGTAGACTGCATAATCTTTCCATCTCTATAGTTAAACAGCTTCAAGGTTTGCGCTTACACGTCTCAGGGATCGCTTTTGTTACCAGCGTAACCACAGCCCGGATGTTTAATCGTTCCAGTACCTATGTACTTAAAAATACCAGTTTCTTTAAAAGTTCTAGTCTCTGCCCTTTGTTTTATCGCAGAGCTCATTAATCGATGTGTTTGCGCTATTATTTAGCTGATAAAGAACACGCGTCACGTATTTGTGACGCAAGCAGCAATTGTTGTAGAAAAACCCACTGCCTACCTTTAGCTGAATTCTTATCTTCTCACCTATCATTCTTTTTTATGTTGCCTGCTTTCGCCGTGAGTATGTAATGGAACTTTTCCCTCTGCTAAACAAAGTACGCTTGCAGTTGAGTAGGATCATTGTCACTTTAAGATAAAGACGATTACACAGTCGTCATGAAAGCCTCCTCTCGTGCAACATGCGAATTACGGATTCTGCAGCATCTCAAGCCTTCTCTGAAGTCACACTAAGTTGTACCGTCTGGATCCCATTCAGGTACTGTGTCGAGAGGGAGATGTCACTCATTTGCATAATTTCGTAAGTTTTTGTATAGATGGCAGTTTCACATTGTTTATTTGCAATATCAATTCATTTTCCAATTGTCTTCTTGTAGGACACGAGATTGGGGTAACCATCTGAAATGGACGTTGCCTTGATAACTCTTCCATTGTGCATCTCCACCGATCCAAGCATTCACAGTAGATGTCATCCTTCTGTGAGAGAGGCTATCAGCATGGCCAGAACACTATGCCGGCAAGACAAAGGCACAAATCACAAGGACTGAAGAGTCTGTGTATTTAATATCATCTTCCAGTACAAAGAGATCCTTTAGAGACTGATACCTAGGACGTGGTCTAAGAAAGGGCCCCATTTCATTGACCATTTGAAATGTCCAATCAATTCTCGTATCACGGACGTTTTCTACCTCTTATTAATTACCGAAAGTTCCGAAGTCATTCATAATTAAGTTGAAAGACAATTTACTACCGTAAAAAGCATCTACTCCTTGTAACAGCGACAAATTGGGCTATTTAATGGGAGAGAAGTCGAACTTTTTATGTAGTCAGATGGGGGAAAATGTGATATATTTTTGAGTCCATTTCCTCATTATTTAATTAAAAGATTTTGGTATTCTTAAAGTGACTTGGTCCACGCTACTTATAGTTGGCAATTGCCATTTCAGTAGTATGTGTAGTTAAATCGGGCCACTTTGTGAATTAATGTATGTTAATTTTGTACTAGTCTTGGTTAGCGATTGCATATTTTTGAGGGTCCGTTTTTGTAATTTGCGGTACCATTAACCCGCTTTTTTCTCTAAAAATTTTCCATTATTTACCACAGCATGAGTCAACGATGCGACGAAATTCTGACTACATTTCCCATGTCAAATATGCTAAGATGCAAAGCGTTTAACCCTTTTGGGGGGATACACACATCCTAACTAAAGTCAAACATGCGAGTGTTGAATTGCTGTACCTGATTCCGCTCTGTAGTCATAAAAGGGCGTGATGTCCGGTGGAACAGAGGCGGCAGTTAAGTTAACAGAGGTAATTTCACATCAAAATATTGAGGAGTAGAGAATTTACGAAGATGGAAGTTAAAAATAAGAAAGTGGGATCTCATTGCATGGCTTTCCTACCTGATTCTAGCACCAACAATCACCAAGTGGTTGGGGTTCTTGATAAAACAGAAATGGAGGTCGCACGGAGACAATCTATGGAGGTAAGAAGAAAATTGTCCCCAACGTCCGTAATGCAGCTCGTCAATTTTGAGATCCCCAGAGTCATATTCCTTAAGGAGGTTCATTGAATTTACACAGTTCAGGGCGGGTTTGCGTTTTGTAGCGACGGGTTTTTAACTAGTAGTCAGTATTCGGAGAGAAATTTGTCTGAAAACAATCTTTTGTTAAACTACATACTACAGAACTCGCATTCAGTACCTATTCATCATTGCCACTTCTCACTCTGATGTGTGCAGGAGGCACCTTTTTTCACTCTATTCACACATCCTCATTACAATGATGTAGACAGCTCAACGACGCACTTTTTAAATCGTGATAGTCTGCTCACTCTTCATTATCACTGAATGAGAAGTTGAACCTCCTGCTGTTACTTGTCGCATGGTTAACCGCACACGGTAGACGCCTTCCTTCTATGGCGTGTTTCTTCATCAAAATCAGAATTTCTGTTTATTTGGACCAGTCTCGCTTTTCACATTCGCCATCGTGGTGCCGCAGCTCTCCCTGATTACCTTATTGAATGTGTGAGTCTGTTTTGGGGCGCACGGAAGCGGACCGGAGGCTTGGGTAGCTGCTACACAAACTCACGTGCTCATTGGCTGCATCCTCAGCCAAGGTAGCCAATTAGAGTGCTCGGGATGAGCGAGATTGATTGGTTCATTAATTACATCCCGATCTATGCCTGACCATGGATCTCAGTGCCGTGCAGACCAGCTATAGCTACTAGTCAATGATTTATCAAGTCTGATATGTCCGACAACTAGGGTACTACTTGCTTTGGCACCCTCAACTCCTCTTTGCTTTACGGAGGATATGGCTGCCTGGGTGGGACCACATTCAAATTTTGCAAAAGGGTTAGCGAACCGTTAAAATAGCCGACACATCCTCAACGTCATGAATGATATTTTCGAGAGCTAAAGAGCCGGCAAGGTATAGAACTTAGTATAGGTTTGGCTTCTCATTTACTTGTTTCAACTTGTCTTGCACCTCTTAGTAATGCTAGGCAACAGTGAGTGGAATATAATCCACGGAAGGTAGATGTGATCAGATGGGAGGTTAAACCATTGTTTCATTGTTATTGTGTCATTCCGTGATGATGAGTACAGCGGTATTCATCTTTTCTGTACAGAAAGATGCAAACTGCTCACCTATAGTTGTGTTGTATCCAGCCCTCCTGCAAAAGGTTTGTTCCTTTTGCACTTCCTTAACAGGTTATGTGGTAATTAGACGTTCCGCGTGTTAACCGAATACCTTTGGGAGTCACTGCGGCTGAGATTGTTACCAAACGAACGTAGGTCTGCCACGGAAATGTCTGTAGCAGTCAAGTATCTTGTTAAGCCTCCAATCGCCGTGATGTGCTTGCGCTTTCCTCGGCATCGCACATTGCTCCAAAAACGTATCATCACTATCGTCTTCCCTGTTGAGGAACAGTAACCAGACTATCCCACGGTGGGTACAAATCTACCAATTACCACTCAAAAAGGACCGCGAAGTAGCCTCCGCATCTTCACAACTTTGAGGAATGTGGAGCACAAGGTCAAGGACGCGAACGAAAGCACTCAAGTCGTTGCAGCAATATTATTAAGAATAAAGTTGATGAATGAATTGTGTAGAGCTCATTTTCTTGGCTAAGGACTTATATTTACTTTGGTTTGGAGGTAATGCGGAAAGACGAACCACTGATCCACTACATTTGACATGGAGAAGTGAGATAAATCCCGTCCTGCGGAGCACCTCAGTGCTAAATTAGACTTTCCATCATTCAGCTGTCCACCCCATCCCTCCGCTGTTGAATGCTCCTTCTTTGGGTGTTCATACTACCCCCAGTGGCCATGCTGACTACGTAGATGAATAGCTTAGCTGTCACCGCGTACATTTGACAACTGCGCGGCATCGACGGCAGCCGCAAGTTACACTTCCCTGTCTCTCAGCCCTTTTGTATAATGGTTCACCGATTTGGCCTACCGCGTTTCCAGAGAATACTTGAGGCTTTTGAGGCATACACTTCATCCATACGACTGTGCTGCAGACTTGAATAGCTCACACTTTTTCTAGACTTGCGCATGCAAACATGGCTTCTACACAGTAGAACAAAGAGACCGCCTCCCCCAACCCTTTTCTCACATCCGCCGCATCAGCCACGGAAAACAAGTTTGAATGACAAATCACCGACGTGAGAGACGAAATGGTGTGTGAGAGTGTTCCACATCCAGATGAGTGCAAGATAGCAGCCTACTAGTACCAACGAGTGAAAAAAATGGAGTTGTCAAGGCTGACGACTTCTTCTGGGAAAGAGTGAGATCACACTGAAGAGTCTCTTCCAGCTATTACACACCAAAGGAGCAGTCAAAGTCCGCCAAATCCATAAAGCGTTGGTTCCCCTGGCTAATCCTGCCTCCTCTGCTGCGGTAAACCGACATGACAAGTTAACACCAATTTTCAAGGTGCATTCATCAAATTAATTCATCTGACCAGATAATTATGAACAGTGGTATTCACGGCGAGGTAGAAAAAATCCACCTCTTCGTGAGACAGAAAAAAGGATGGCGAAATTGAAGTTGTGATATTTCATCCATCTGGTGTGGCGGATCTGCTTGCTAATCTACTGTTTCACTTTGCCTACTTACCACCATATGAGAAGGTAATTCTGCCAGCTACACTCACTCGACTTCAAGTTGTGTGTAAATGTTTGCTCTTTGAAAAAGAAATTGCCCATCACGACTTGTTAATTTCATACTTACTCACATTTTACACGTTCTTGCGAAACTCCGAACTTACTACTTACAAGTTGGTCTAACATAGATATCATGGCGGGTATGCATTACTTATTTCGTGAAGAAGGCATTTTGGGGCTCCAGGTGGTAGCATTATAACAATTGCTTTTTGTATCTTACGTGGCAAGAAAGTGTCAAATTACTTGGAGGAGGAACAACATCCTGCTGGCACAGTGCCAAAAATTTGGTTCCACAGAAGAGTCCTTCATTTCCAAATCCGATGGTTGCTCTTTTTAAAATAGGTAAAAAATACCGCATTACTGAGGTTACTAAATATCGTACCCAATTAGGGATGCAGGTTTTCAAACCTTAGCAATGACTAGCTAACAGCTAAAGCCTCGTGTTCTCCACGATTCCCTCCGACCAATCAGAGTAGGAGAATTTGGATACCGCGCCAACGACTCTCGAATCAAATCTGTAGGGTTAGTTGAATCAATTTTTAAGTTCTTTCTGCACTACATCTACATCTACATTACTTTTTCAGCGATGGCTAAGGCGAGCAACTCCTCGGAAAGGACATCCACTCCTGTAAGTATAACTTGATCGCAGCTACTGTCAGTGAACACGGGGTAACAGGAAGGAGCTTACTACTAAGGTAGCACTGCTTTTATTCTTGACACGTGGAAAATAAATCCTCATATCGGTTAATTAACCTTGGTAACTCTATCTTGTCGTCGTCTTAAACTCCAGTTTTGTTGTTGACAGAGAATAATGGCTCATTTTAAATTCGCTGACGTTTTAAATGACCACCGATTAAAACAAATGTAATTATCATATCAAATTAAGGCTACTGAAAGTGACAGCTCAATCGATTGGCTTGAGTCTGATGAAGACGAGGAAAAAAAGTTCTCCTATTCCTTCGGTCTCATCGCCTCCTGCTTGGGTTGTGTCCTCGGCACGGGAAACATTTGGCGATTCCCTCGAATTGTTGCCACAGCCAGTTCTGACAAGGGCAAGTCTTCAAGAATTATTTTAAAATTTTATTGAATAAAACATATGTTTCTCATAATTTGGATAACCGTAGAGACGTCATTATTAATTTATTCATTCATCCCGTACCCTTCCCGTATCCATTCATTAATTCATCCACCCGTCCATCCATCTATCGTTCAATTCCTCAATGCTATTATAAAAGTTAAAACACAGCGCAACTTCTTCTTCTAGACGAAGGGCGTCAGCTTAACCATAGAGCCAGATGCTTGAGTTAGTTTGCGGTAGACTTTTATTTTGGACAGGCGTGATGTTTCATTCAAAGTTATTGTCCGTTTTTCCTCTTCATATAAACAAAACTGTTATTTTGCCTACTGTAACTCCTTTGCATCTACAATCGCACGGAATTCCAGGCCAAACTAAATGATAATTTAAATGGGATGGTGTTTTCCCCTAAAGCCCTCTCTCATCAATAAACAGACCTTCCTATTGGACAAATTTCTGGTGTGGAGGTTAAAGAACTAAAAATAAAATTTGGGAAAAACACTTGTTTATTCTCCTAAAATTGTAGGAAGTCTCTGCTTCATCTTGGCGTGGCTCTTCTTCCTCTTCGCCTGGTCCGTCCCACTGATCATCACTGAGTACACGATTGGTCGATTCACCCGAAGCTCTCCAGTAATTGCCTTTCAAAAATTTCTTGGATCAAAGTGTCTGTGGATCGGTGGTTGGGTTACAGCTATTTCCTTTTTAATCAGGTACAAACAAGAGTGAAATTGAGAGAATAATCGTAAGGAGTTGTAAATACTACTTAGAAGTAATAAGTCAACATGGAGGCAAGCCATCGTGAAATATGAGTAAAGGATAATGGATAAACATTAATGCGCTAGGCCTGACTATTTCAGTGCCTACTTCTCAGTTGTGGTTGGATGGTGTTTCTACTACTTTTACGTCGCTTGTGCATGGCGAGAACTGCCCTCCACAGAACCGGAGAGCAAACAAATCTTCGAGGATTTCATTGTGAGTACGCTTTCTTGCAATCCGTAGAACAACTCAGCTAGGCGTAGCATCCACATCAACGGATTACACCACTCTTTAGGGTACCTACTGGCCACTTGGACTGCATACCCTCGATTTACTCATCTGTGGAATTGCCGTCTTTAAGGGTGTGAAGGGAATCGAATTAGCCAACAGCTTCATGGTTCCGATTCAACTCATCATCGTCACCTCCACTTTCTACTGGTCCTTGTTTCGCGAGTATGCCGATGTGGGCATAAAATTTATGTTCACACCTGATTGGTGTAAGTCGTTGGGGCTGTCGTAGTGACCACCAAGGTTTACTTGGACGAGGAAACATTCTATTCTCCCCTTTTCAGCTATGTTCGCCAACCCACAGGTCTATGTCGAGGCAGCGTGTCAGAACGCGTTTGACACAGCGGCTGGAATGGGTCTGTTCTCAGCCTACGCTGCCTACTTTACACGCAAAACTGGGGCTGTGCGATTTGGCACCCTCCTTCCAGTGGTGAACAATCTCGTTAGGTGGGTTGTTTGCCTCTATCGGATAGGCAGATCTCATCCTCTTCACCACTCACTCGGCTCATTTCCCACTTTTAGCCTGGTCTGTGGCTTGATGATCTTTTCCACAGTCTTCTCCACGCTCATTCAAACACAGCCCACTCTGACAATTCCCCAGATTGTCACAATCATGAAGGAGAGTGGTCCAGGTAGTACAGGTCTTACATTCACTTGGTAAGCACTCCACTCTTTTTTCAACATTGGGTGGGTCGAGGGAGAGAGTCGGTGAACACACATGGTTAGCGCCACTTCCAGTGATGCAGGCACCTCACATCACCGAGTAGAGAGCATAGACCACTCGGAAGAAACACAGAGAACGCCATGGTCAGGTGATTGATGGCTACGGCACCCACAGACCCACATACACATACAAACACACGCACACACAGAGCCCTTCATTCATGCCTTTTAAGTGGTTAAACTTGAATGTATTTCTCTCTCTCTCCGCCATCCATCCCCCGCCCGTTGAATAGAGGACTGCTGTCACCCCTCGCCTGTTGACAGGGCAACTTCGCGCGCGTGCGTGGTGGTAGGGCATCTGCGTATGTACCACTATTTGACACTTCGTTCTGTCCACACTTCTGTGCCTTAACTGCGCCTAACCAAACCCATCGTAGCTCGACCATGCCCTCCTCTCAAGTATTCACTACTGACCATTAGCTCCAAATACTCGGAAATGAGGGCATTACTCACCCAAAAGATTATACCTTTAAGTAGTCTGACCTCGCGTCAAGTTTCCTTTGTTAAGATAAATACTTCCACAATACACCTAGCAGGACAAACCCAAACTACATTTCTTTTCCGTTAAAATAGACCTAATCGTTAACAACCGGCTGTTGTGAGTTAAAAACTTCCACACGCACTAATTTTTAGGATTCCAGTGCTCATGTCAAAACTGGGGATTGCGGGTCGTGTTCTTTGTGGCCTCTTTTTCCTCTGTCTCTCCTTCGCTGGAGTGACCTCCATGATTGGCTACATTGAGCTTACTGCTCGCACCATCCAAGATTTTGGGGGTAGGACCCTTTATTGCTATTACAATTCCTGCTTTTGTGAAAATGGGTCTGCCATCCTGACCGATATTCCTCCTGATTTTAGTGAAACGCCTTTATGCTACGACAGCTGCACTCATAGTTAGCTTCCTTGTTGGGGTCCCCTCGGCTCTTAGCATTGGCGTTTTGCAGAATCAGGTGAGTTTTTGGTAAACCGTCTTCCCCATCTGTCCCTACATCACTTTAAGGCATTAATGCTCTCCCCATGCAGGACTTTGTTTGGGGATTTGCGCTTATGATATCGGGCATCTGCTACTGTGCTCTCGTTATTCACTACAATCCCGTCAAATACCGACGGGTGATTATTAACGACTTCGGTCTCAAGGACTGGAAGCTGCCGTTCATTTGGATTATCCTCATTGCGTAAGTTCTTGTCTTACGTGTCTTTCTGGAACAGATTGCAGTTTCTAACTTGACAAGCTATGAAATAATTAGCGGGAATTTTCTGCGCTTTCCAGAGGCATCGTGCCCTTTGAAGCGGTTGGTCTAATTTGCTGGTGGGCCTATCAAAACATCGCCCTTGCTGAGGACTGGTACTTAATCAAGGTTCAATCACTCATGACAACAATTCTTGAGGCAAGTGCTCAAATTAACTCCTTAATCCCGTTTAAAAGCATAAAACTTAGAGGTCAGCGCTATAGCCAGTATTTAAGTAGCATTATCAGTAGTAATTGCTTGGTTGTTGTTCAAGGCCAAATTTAGGAGGGCAACTCTCTGCATAAAGTAAATCTCTTTAAAAATTTCATTTATATATGTTTAAATAAAAAGATTCAAGAGTTATGACTCCCGCCTCACCACCAAAATGTAGAATAAACCGTTCACCAAATAAAAGGCGTTTAGAAGCCATAAAGTAAATCAACAGTCTAAAGTTACCCCAGTGCTACCACTTCCTTTGCAATACATGAGTGCTCCGGGACTGCTATTTTTTTAAAACAATGCACACGCCTTTGCAGACGTCACAAGAGGTGCTTTAACATGCCAGTTGAAGAGCCGCTGATTGGTGATGCGGTCTTGTCACATGAAGGTCATTTTATCACCTAGACATGATGGAGCATTTAGCGGCTGTTTAATTCTCTTTAGTGGCTCATTCTGTTTGTTCTCCTCGGTGGACTGAATATCGTTGTGTATTGTTGCAAATGGAATCTGCTGAAGGACTCCTCTTGCAAGGGTTCCGATCCTTACCATCTGGAGGAAATCTACCCACAAAGTGGCTCGTTGAAAAGTCCTCCTTTCGTACACGTAGAAGATGGAGATGAAGGTTCTTATGAAAAGAATGAAGCATTCTAAAAGAGAGGAGAAAAGGAGGAATGAAAGCTCCAAGAAGTAAACTCAGACACAACTCCCCATTATTTGTAACCCGTATTTTAGAGATCATAAAAACTTGCTCATCGGCATGTTGGAAATGCACAGGTTCAACAACATTTGAGCACTTCGTCTTGCCATAATTATTCACTTATGAGTTTTGACCACAAGAGATTAATAAAATGCTTTGATCAGGAATGACCCTTATTCTACTTCTGGAAAAACCATGCGGTTTAAAGATAGTCTTTGAAACACCCTTCCTGAGAATCTAGAACCGGATTCCTTTTCAACGAGAGGTACAAGCTGGAAGAGGAAGGCTTTAGCCCCATCACCTTCTCCTATTTCCAAGTCACACCTCTCACCAATTTACTATCGAAATGCCATGCGACTATGTGATGGTCTAATGCCAACCCCAAGCTGTGATGATACTCACCCAGGATGACAATGGAGATGAGGCAGTATCGCCATAACTCACTCTCTCCCTCCTCTTGACGAAGCTGTGCTATATGCGGCAATAGGTGCGTCGCTGTGTTATCGTGCATGGCCAAGAGGAAGAGAACTTTCTTCCCACCGGTAGCCTAGTTCCGCCTTTTTCCTCAGAAGGTAGTTTTCTCGCGTACCTCTTAGAGGTATTGTGCTGTGCCAAGTGAATGAATCTAAAATATAATTGTTGTGAGGCCGTCATGCAAGTAAAGAAGTCCTAAAGAATAATCAGGCACACACAGATAAAGCAATTAGCACCCTACAAGAGGCTACATGATTTAACACGCTAATGAAGCACGTGTTTAGGTATTAAATGCCAAAGGGTAGTGAAAGAGCTCCAAGTTAGAGTAAGTCCCCTGCCACTCGGAATAGTCTCCTTCCATAAAACACGAATTCCATAACTGTAAATACAAGCTGTTTGTAGAGGGATTAAAAAGATCGTTACGGAGACGGTCTCAAACCCGAACTGTGACGGTAAAAGCGGCTCACACCGTTAAGTTGATGAATACGGGAGGGACCATGGCGTGACACGCCCCATCGTCGGCATCCTGACAGGTTGTCTCAAAGTAGATTCGACAGTGTGCTCAAGCCTCCTCGGTAAACCTTATTCATAACGGAGTTGCCACATTAGTCGGATACGGTGGTAAAGCTAGCTTTCATGTCAGTGTATTATCGAGACATCGAACAGTAGGAAGTTGGGTTTGGATGTTCTTTACTCCTCTTAGAACAGCAACTTCAGTGAGGAGCATTTCTATCGTGAGCAGATCAAGCTGTTAAGCTATGCCTTAAAAAGTGAAATAAAGGCGAAAAGGTAATGCGACTTCCTTTGGGCTCTGTGAAAGGCAACCCCGACCACACGTAAATGACGTAGAAGTAGAAGAAACATGAAGCAGCGTTTGAGTAAAATAGCTCATGTGCACCGAAACGATGGCAACCCAGCCGCCGATCCATGAAAACCCTACCCAAGCGTTTGCTAGGAGTCAAAAGTAAACTCTGGAAAATCTGTTCTACTTTCACCCATCTCAAGCCTGATCGGTGAGGGAGTTAAGTAGCATTGCTTGACCAAATAGGTTCAAACTACAAATTGGCAGAACGCACGGTTGATGGGACTGTGAAGGCAGTTGCTCCAAAACTTGCCGTTCTTTGTGTCCATTGCTCGAAACCCAACTTTAATTTAAGTGCCACAGGACAATCATAAACATACCTACAAATGGCTTAGTTCAATAGAAATGCTTGACTTATGGAATCACTTGATTTTAAGATTCATTGATTACTGACCATTTAACCTCACCTACGAAGCCAAGCAAGGGTGGTAAAACGATGTGATAGTAGCTTGTGCTCCATTTACGTGCAGCCGTCTCGGCCTTGTTTTAGGTGTCTACTCCCCTCCCAGTCTAAATTGGGACAGGCTACGCCACTCCGCTACTTAATTCCCTTATAAGTAGTTTCAACAGTCCTCTTTTAAAAAATTATAAGGTGCAACACATCGAATAGGCTCTGAAGACAATGTTACACTCGATCATATTAAAAAGAGCCTTTTAGTAATGTAATAAAGACCCAAGAGGCTACAGGTCTACGTGGGTGGACAATGTCATCAAGAAAGTTACCGAACCTTAAGAGAATGACGAGTCTGCATAGTTAAATACGCCAATAGGAAACCGTCGTTCGAATCCGCAGCTCTCTTCTCCTTCCAATTTTTTAAAAGTCTTTTAAAGGGCTATTCTGCATTCTCCTTCATTAATCTTCGACCGGAATTGGTAGCATGAGGTGGGACCTGGTTGCAGTTTCCGGGCGTCAGAAGGAAGTTCATTGAGGGAAATGTGTTAATTGTCTCTACAACCAATGCTTGTTTGGAAGGCAAGTGAGCAGGTAAGATATCATGAGGGTTCAATTAACCTTGTTCAAAGGAATAACCACAATAGGTCTGTGAGAGCAGTTCCCATTTCGAGCAGATAAGTAGTTTGAGATTAGCACCATAAGCGCATGTAAGATTTCTGTGGCCCACCTTTAACCAAAGTAAGTAGGAAGGACTTAGTCCTACTTTATGATGTGTTTGGTATGGGATGGTTGGGATCATTATAATGCAAGGTGTGCGTATTTTGTGTGTATGTCTTCTAACATGCTCTCCACTCTTCCCGATCCCTACTCTCGCCTGACGTCATGTTCAGAGTCGACCCGGGAAGCTAAAACGCAATCAAATGACCAAGTTCCAGTCTGACCTAATTATTTAAGCATTTGCAAATCCTTTTTTACTTTTTAGCACATGTTGTATTTTATGCCATATGCCAGTCGTTGCTGTCACTACAACATTCCAAACGACTGTTTCCTCCTAATGTCCGGAATTTAGTGTCCTCCCAGGTAGGATGTCATCCTCTCACACTGGCATACTACGTTATGTATTCAGTGACGATAATGACGCCATAGAAGTTCCTCATTACAAAGATATTCTTATACATCATCCGAACTTCCCCTATTCACACCAAATTATGATAAGCTAAGTTAAATATGTAAGTGTTGTAGAAGCATCCAGGCATCCAATCCCTTTACAGAGACGCTAAGAGGTGCTAGTATAAAGAGAACTTAGTAATAAAAACACCGAAAGAACAATGGTACAATTAAGTGCATATTAAACCGGCAACAAATCACCACATACACTGAGGGAACGTTTTGTGCAATCTCTCTAAATATACCGAAATCAGCAATCGGTGTCAGTTGCAGCAATGCAGGAAAACCACACTAAAAAGGTGAAACATGTAGAGAATGTCGTCAACTTGGTAAATATGCGTTAGGACAACACGTTACATTTACATCATCCCTTGAAGACAAACAACCTTTAATTTAGAACTACAGGCTCCTTGCGCTTAAGAATTCTAATGATTAAATGGCATTTTGTAAGAGTCATCCATGTCCAAATAAATTCTGGTCTAATTTTTATTAATTTTTTTAACGAATCAATGGGTAATTACGACCCTGTCAATTTTACCAATGGGATGTCAGCCGCGACTTAAAATTGAGTAGTATCCCCTAGTATTTGCATTTTGGCGACCACGATACCTTCTGCATCTTGTCACATTGTTATTAACTAAGTCACATCGATTTCTTATAACAATGGCCCAAATAAACGGATTAGACTCTCGTGATTGTGAGGTGCTTCGATATAGCGAAGCCGACACGGACGACTCAAAGGTAAGCAAATTATGATCCTTTGGTTATGTTTCTGTGCAAATTGATCATTTTTTTAAGTCCATACGAATATAAAATTGTAGAACTCTTACAATTAGCCATTATACTCGCAAGTTTGTTTGCAAACTAAAAAAATTACAAAGAGAGTATAGCAGCGCCTAACTTGCGTCATGGGCTGAAATATTATTCAGACTTCCATCTTAAAGGTAGTGGATTCTTAACGGTAGGATCCCAGCCAGTATATTTTAAATAATGTTCTCCAAATCTTTAATATGATCAATTTCGCGCATCAAATATTTTAAATTGCTTCATCTTTTTATCTAATGTGAACTCGTTTTTTGATCTGCTCTTAAGGACTCTTTAAAAAGCTCTAGCGACTTTCAAAGCTCTGTTCAACTTGACATGCGGACGAGTTTCACTTATTCACTCGGACTCATTTTTTCTTGTCTTGGTTGCGTATTGGGAACCGGAAATATATGGCGATTTCCTCGAATAATTGCAGTGGCCAGTTCCGATAAAGGTCTGTCATGAAATCAAAATTTTTACCTTCCTCTTCAAATTCATGAATTAGCTTTTATGATTGTCGTTCATTAAACACTATAATTTGGACACTTGTTATTATCGGGGTTCTTTCCCATAAATACCTACACGTACGTACTGCACTACTGAGTTCTATTTACAGTCATCCATGTTAAAACAACTAATTTAAAAGTTTGTAATTTCAGGCTGTCTAACGTTTATCCTGGTATGGATCGTATTCCTATTCACCTGGTCCATTCCGCTGATTATAACGGAGTACACACTTGGTCGTTTTACTCGCGGCTCTCCTGTTGTGGCATTCTATAAATTCCTCGGAAAAAATTTTTTCTGGGTTGGATCGTGGGTTACGGCGATTGCATTTTTGATAAGGTTGGCATTCTTATTTGTAAAGTAATGAAACGTAAACCACTTTTCTGTAGTGCCTACTTTTCCGTAGTTGTGGGATGGTGTTTCTACTACTTCTACGTGTCTTGTACGCGGGCTGAGCTCCCGCTCACCGAGCCAGAAAGTCGTGAAATATTTGACAATTTTACCGTGAGCAAGATGTCTTTAACATTTGTTTTTACCTCGTAAATCAACTACTTGTTTTACAGAGGACCTCCTGGCCTTTGGTCAACCATACACTCTGTCTCGTAATTTGCGGCATCACTGTCTTTAAGGGAGTCAAAGGAATCGAATTTGTCAACAGCTGTCTTGTACCGATTCAATTGGTAATTGTCATTATCGTGTTCTACTGGTCGCTTTCTCGAGAATATGCAAACGTTGGAATCAAGTTCATGTTTACCGCGGATTGGTGTAAGCATTACACATCTCCCTGATGGCCCATGTATCCTAATATTTCATGTCGCAGTCGTTCTTTTCCACTTTAGCAACTCTTCTTGATCCCAAAATTTACGTTGAGGCAGCTTGTCAAAATGCTTTTGACACGGCGGCTGGGATGGGTGTCTTTTCAGCCTACGCTGCCTACTTTAGCAGAAAAACTGGAGCTGTTCGTTATGGCATTCTGTTGCCGATTTTCAACAACCTTGTGAGGTATAATGCGTGCTTTTCTATGCTTCACCAACGAATAAGACGGATTCATTCAGCTGACTTTTATGAAATAATTTGACATGCGTTGGTCTCCTTGAATTCTTATTCTCTCGGTTCTTATCATCTCACTACCTATCTTTAAAGTCTTTGCTTTAAGGAATAAACATTTGGGGTCAGTGGAAAGGCAGAACCAAAAGTTGCGTGTTTTTTTTAGTTTGACTTGTGGACTGACCATATTTGCGACAGTGTTCTCCACACTGATTCAGACGTCACCGACCCTCACGATACCGCAAATTGTTTCCATAATGAAGGAGAGTGGTCCAGGAAGCACGGGTCTAACATTCACTTGGTAAGTGATGGTTTCATCAAGACCCAGTTTGCGGCTGTCCGGTTGATTTTGTGAAACTTCCTACTCGTGTTGTGAAAGTTGTTTGCTCCTGGCTAGGTTTCTCTTACGAATGGGTAGAATAACACCTCATCACCTAGATGAAACCCATCTTGTCTCCAGACGCGAAGACCCTAGCATTGGCCACCTCCTTTCATTTCTTGGCATTATTTTCCTTCCCTTACTGACTATCTGGCGAGTGAATATGCAATATAAATGCTAAGAAAAGGTAATAGCTATCACCTTGAGAAATGTAAATAAAGGACATAAGGAGAATCAAGATTGAGTTGGGTTAGCACACCCTTCCTTTCTTCCCTCCTTCCTTCCTACCCTAAGCTACAATATAATGCCCTCCTATGACTACGGTATGGGATCTTGCGCCGGATTTTCTTGTAAGAATAAGAAGATTATCATCCGAGTAATTGACCTGTCCTAACTGTTCCTCAAAAAATTAATGTTCATAGCCCCGATGTGTTTTAGGTATTATCAAGTAAGTAGATTTATAGCCATAATTAGCAAACTTTAGCCTCTACAGTCTACCTGCTCGCACGCAAAGCATCGTAGAGATGTGGAATGGGTAGTGAGTGAGTTGTTTTACTACTAAGCCATGGAATACATAATCAGAAAATCCATCTCTCTTCATAAATCAGTCAATATGTAAGTAGGTGAGTCAGTGGGCAAACGATTAAAAGGACAGCAAATTGATGGCCTGTGAAACTTATTATCATCTGTTAATGCACGCAGATGGAACCCATTTGTCTGGCAGCTTTTACCATTAGGCTTCTCTCCCAGCCAGTATGGGCTTAGATGGAGCGTTTTTATCAAAGTAGCATTAAATTTTATGAGAGGTAGCCCTTGACATATCAAACTTGAATACATTTAATTAAGAGAAAGTATTGGAAGAATAAAGGGTAACGCATCTATGTTCGAGTCTATTTGTTTATATCGTTCTCAAACGGTGCGTTCTACCTACACATCGTTTCCAAATGCTCCACAAAAAGCGAGGGGAAAAAACACTTTTTTGGCTTTTAAACCGAGTCAAACTTGGCTAGTGCGACCGAGAGGCTTGAATCACCTCCGCTTTGTTTCAATGACATTTTATGACGAGTTGCAAAAAAAGAGGTAAATAGGCGACGACAGGATCGAGACTGATACATGTCTCCACTTTACGACGGATTTGAGCAATCAAATGCCTTAAAGTTACAACACGTCACCTTGAGTAAAATTAAACAAATAAACTAAGATCGGCAACTTATCAAGTAGTAAAATGCATTGGATTACTCACCATCATATTTCATAAGAAAATTATTAACTTATTGAAATATTTTCAGCTGAGGTTGTTGAACTCCCTCATGCAATATAAATGAATTAAAAATTTCAAGTGGCTTAATATGCTATTTTACGGTATCAGTAATGGTTCTTATGTCTTCTCTTGATCAATCAGGATTCCTGTGCTTATGTCGAAACTGGGAATAATGGGGAGAATCCTCTGCGGAATGTTCTTTCTCTGTCTATCTTTTGCTGGCATCAGTTCGATGATCGCCTCCATTGAACTTACTGCGCGAACCATTCAAGATTTTGGTGGTAAGCAAAATTACATTTGCGAGGCAAGAGAAGCTTTTAATGAGTGTGGCACTTACTTATTCTTTTTAGTTAAGCGAATTTGGGCGACTGTGGCATCACTAATCCTATCGTTCATAGTGGGTGTTCCCTCTGCTGTCAGTGTTGATATTTTATCCAATCAAGTAAGCAGTCCATGGTCTTAAGGAAATGCATCTTGTTCTTGAGTCTGAGTACAACGCCGTAGTGATAAAGTTGGCGTAATGGGCACCCATTTCACATCCATCATTTATCCTCTTGACAAAAGAGCTTTTTGTTACATTAATTAATGGCATAATCCCAGCAAATGCGAGAAGACTCAATTTCTGCCTAGGACTTTGTCTGGGGTTTCGGACTTATAATCTCAGGGCTGTGCTACTGTGCATTAGTCGTTTGGTACAATCCCGTACGATATCTTCACGTCATCGTCAACGATTTCGCTATTAACGACTGGCGGCTTCCATTCGTTTGGATCTTTATAATTGCGTAAGGGGACGACCTCATCTTAGTCCAAATAATGCACTTTCGAGCGTGTATTGTTAGCATTAATAGCGTTTTCCTCATTATTTTATTTAAAATGCTTGTTAATTTCTAGAGGTATCGTTCCATTTGAAGGGCTCAGTCTTATTGCCTGGTGGGTATATCAAAATATTGCCTGCACAAAATGGTACCTGTTGAAGGCGGAGTCTTTAGCAGTCATCCTCCTCGAAGTAAGAGCTTTTGTTTCACTGACTACACAATCACAACCGCTCTTTAAATACGAGCTCGAATTCCGTTTTTCACTCGGTTAAGGCTCATAGATTAACGGAACATTGTAGTTACTTTTTCGACTCAACGTGTCCTTTGTTGTAAATCAGTAAATACGCATTTAGTTGCCGAGAAATATTTGCTTTTCAGCGTTAGAAAGCAAGGATTGATAAAATAATACAAGTTTTGTCCAATTCATGGTAGTTGTCTGTTTATGCATTGTCAAGTGAGTCCGCAAGCGAAATTTCAGAGGGAAACTGATGTTTACAGTCAGTTATTTTGTACTTTTACTTTCAATCTAAACCTTATTCTTTTAAAAAGGTAGTTACATATCAGGCATGGGCTTAAGTAAGAAAAATATGGCGTCACATATACGTGACGATGGTTGAAAATTTGTTAGCGTTTCCTCAGATCTACTTTTGTTGAAAATTGCCAACAGGCCAAAGCCTTCTGAAATTGCTGATTTTTAATTTTTTTAGTGGGGAGTTCTCACCTTCTTCCTGGGTCTGTTCAACCTTTTTATATGCATTTTCAAACTTTCGGTTCGGAACTCATCTTCCGACACAGGTTACGATCCGTATCATCCAGAGAATATTCCGCGATCTCAAGATTGCAAGGAGCCCTGAGAAATTGCATCGTCATTGAGAAAATTTGCTTGAAACGATATGCAATTTCCTGCTTTGTAAAATTAACGCCTTGCTACTCCTCTTTTTCACACATCTTTATTCGTAATTTTACTTAGTATTTGTGCACTTGACGCTCAGTATTACAGATTTTAATAAAAGGTGTGATCTCTAACCTTTTCAACATGCAAAAAGGACAAGAAACTTTGGCTTGCGAATTATGGCAAGTCGACTTATGTGCAGCAAATTTTATCATTCAAGTGTGCTTGAATATGTATTGGGTTAACTAGAAACAAAAAAGTCATGAGGGCACTTTATGGCCTTAGAATAGAAATATATAAATAAGTATTTTTAAGCGCTTTGTAATTGAGACAATTGACTTTTTTATGTTGGAGCCAATAATATGGATCTATTTTAAAAAAAGACCCTTAATAGATCAGATATTAATAGTCATTCTTTGAATAATGGAAATAAAACAGCCTGGATTTTACAGTGTTATTCAAATCTTTAAATTCATGAATTAATTTGCAATAAACTTGCAAATGATGTGGCGGTTTCACTGAAGTAATCACAGATATGGCAAACTGTTTTAATAAATTGTGAAACAACAAATAATTACGGTGAATTGTAAGAAAAAACATTTTTGTTCGAGTAAATTTTTAAATTGTGGGTCTGGGAATAAATCCACTCTCTTAATTGTTTGCGCAATTACAATACTCCCTTCTCTTGTACTGTAAGGGCGCAAATATCAGAGACTAGCAAATTGTGGACCCATACCGGTACCCAAAAAACCTAATAATTTAGATTAAATCGTTTACTTTTGCATCTGTTACAGTGCTACCATTTACCTAGGCCCAAAGTGCAAACGCCTTCTATTCTCTGGACCAGGTTACTTACATTTGGAGTTGAGGGATGGCAATAACCCCAAATCGAGTGATCTGGACTTCACAGCATTTGAAGCAGAGATTTACTGATGAAGTCTAGTTATTCCCACAAAGAATTAGTAACTTTTTTTCTACTTATGTGGGTTGTTCGTTACGTCCAAGGTAAAGCATCTCATAAAAGACAATTCACTACAAAACTTGAACAAGTCAGAAATGTTTTGTGCAAGGTAGTGTGTTGAAAACAATTACACCTATGTAAGTGAAATTTAATTCATTAAATAGCTGAACAGATTGTTACTAACAGACGCATCAATGTCGATGGGTTTGTGGACTTCCCTTAAGCATTGCATGTACATGACAACGAATTTGTTTTGCACTTTCAGGATGCTAAACTACTTAGTAAATTCAGCTGTAAGTAACATGAGTGATTTTGAAGCCTCACCAAGAGGTAATCACGGCCTGCTTTGGTCCTGACGACGTTACCAGAGCCATGTGGCCAATTTAATGGTCGAAAAGCTGGAGGCTAGGTGCTCTGCAAAGGTAAAAATAAACTTTGTCGATAAGCTGTTTCGTAATTCTCCTCTATTAAATAATGTGTTTTCAGATTTTCCATAATAAAGTTTATCTATTATTAACACGCGTTGATTTAAAAGATGTTTACATTTTCTCGTGGCGATTAAGATGTGCTGTGAGGCATTTTAAGCGTTGAAGTCTCTGCTATTTGCGGAACAATCCGATGGTACTTCTAAAATGATACACTAAAATCACATCTGTTTTCGCACTTAAGTTAACTGAAATGTGACACAGTTGAGCCTGAAAAGTTGGCAAATCGCACAACAAAATATCCATCAATTCATTTTAAAACGTGCGCACAAACGTGAATTAATATTGCTTACTGAAAAAGAATAAGTAAGAAGAGAGTTTGGATGGCCTTGCAGGATGTGTAAACTTCCGTTTGCTTTTACTGTCAACTTTTGAGCCTGGAGACACTAACGAATTGGTTTAATAATCTTTTTTGAATGTACTCAATTTCATATAAGGTCCTTAAACTTTGCTTTTTTCTCACTCTCTTCCTAGAAAACATTATTCACTCGTCCCATTAAAGGAGCTTAAGATATCCAATCACGATAAAACTTTAATGGGACAAAACGTTTTCCCTAAAAGACGAATCATTGCCGCAGTGGCAGACTCTCCTTGGACTTGAATATAGCGACAACAGAGAAAGATCACTTTGTAGGAGAGTTAGGAAGGATGCATTCTGACTGTGAGTGCAAGATTTGCGCACTTCTTTTTTGTTACCCATTTTTTTCTAGTTACGAACCTGGTGGAACACGTGGAAGTCCGACTGGAAAAAAAATAGTTCAGTTCCTCTACTTCGCTTAGTTTTCTTTAACTCTCTTCCTTCCAACTGACCCAGAATAACTGCGCATTGCAGACAGCTATCTAAAATTTCGCCTATTCATTAAAATCACCACCAACACAATCATCAATCGCATCTCTTCGGATCGGAGTCATAACCATGCAGATTCTGATTTTTTATCAGTCGACTTGCCTCTAAAGGCAAGAAGCCCAGTACAAGTCACCTGCTTTAATTTCTTAGTGTATTCCCCATCCCTCCACTGACTCCTTGTCAATGCAAATGTCAAGAAAAGACAATGATCGTCACCTTGAAACTATGAATGAGGAAGATAGGAAGAATGAGAATATAGATGAAATCGCACATCCCTCTCACTCTCGCCTTTCTATTCCCGCTCCCCCCTTCTAGGCTTTATAACGCTTCCAGATAACCTCCTCCCAAGTTTGAATTCTTCACTTTGAGCTGAAACAAATTTACACTAAGCTTTTTTCCTCACTAAATATATTGCATTCAAAGTGAAAATATTAAAAGTTTGTCTCATTCGGTTGTGATATTTCCAAAGACCTTCCGTAAGTTGTTGGAGCAGACACACCCCTGATAAATGTATAGAGACTTCGATGTGTTCACAATGAAGGGGGGTGGTAGAAGAGCTTGCACCAAGGAAGATTTAGGACCATATATGCTTGAGCTTTTGTCGCTTTTCTCGTCCACCTTGCGTAAGCTACCTACAACGCGCTGTCTCTAGTTGAAAAAGTGGTCTCTCGGGAGCAGGTGAGAGGTCGAGTTCGGGGTGGGCGAGAAGGGGAGGTCACTGAGTATTAAATGAACATTTTGAGTGTTGCCGTGATTCACCGGAAACTTACTTTTACTACCTCATATTTGCTGCCAGAGGAGAATCGACTGCTACTATGAAGAGCTGTCCAACATCTCTGTTCAAATGTTAATCTCACTAGTGTTGTGGGGCGCATTTGTTACATTTAAGCAGAGGTAAAACAAAACTCCTCCCAAAATTGGAACATCCTGCAGATGTTTTGCTGTTTTAACTTCACTCACTAATGGATTTATGGTGCGATTTGGTACAGCGAGTCGCTATAAACTGGTCAGGATTGGACGTCACATATGTATGACGCTAAAGTTACTTGGGAAAAAAAGACAAAATGGGACATATTCGTGGCAATAATTTTTGAAAGTCAAGTTTGCAGTTGGTTTTTACAAGGAGAACTTTCGTCTTTTCTTTGAATAAGTTTCTCAACAGCCAGTGGGGTCCGAGTGCTGAGTAGGGGATGGCTATTTCAAACTTGAGCATTTGGCCCTCAAGAATTAAAGATAAAAAATTCTTGAATGAGTTTAGGTAGAGGAATGGTAAATGATACTAATAAAGTTTTCCAAGTTATGTAAATGGGTTAGTATATTTACGTTACGTATTTTAATGCTTAAAGTAACACAAGTGTCTTCGAAAGTCCGCCTTCAGGACGTTGATTTGAAGCTAAACCTTCTACAAGTACACCCGATGGTTTCGTCTTCCCTTTATTTAAAGAAGCGGAGTTTTATTTAGCTTATTCTATGGTAAATTAAAAATTCATGAATCTTTAGAGAGCCTCCCGTCTGAGGTGATCCTTTCTAATCAATGGTTCAGAGACCTCATCATCCTAGTCTAGCATATCAAAAACTGCGAATAATTGTCGTGTTCCTTTTCCATAATCTGATTTATGGACAAAAAGAGGTAGCCAGAATGGGTAAATTAAGTCTAAGAAGGCAAAATTCTCTGAAAAACTGACATTTTTAAGCATTGAAAAACTGGATGCTGCTCGCAATCTTTTGAAATAAGCGGCACGTGACCCAGCTGTTTAAAAACGTTTTAAACAAAACATGTTATATTCACAAAGAGCACAAAAGGATGCTATAGTACCCGGAGTTTCTCCTGAAGGCCAGGGAATATGTATTGTTGACGTATGGAAGGGCTGGGGCTAAGGACACCGGTATGACGCAGAGGTCACGCCGCCCCGCAGAGCTATAAGTACCCGCGAGTCCAAAACAAACATTTAAACAAACACAGTATTAAAATTCAAATATTTACTAGAAGGGATCTATGAATTCCCTAAATGAGTCTAAAACTCACTTATTGCGATCAAATCAAGAAACGAGGTAAAAGAGGAAGGGACAAAAGCAGAACCACCTCCTCGTTGTGCTTTTGGGAAGGCAAACCACCTGATTTATTTATTTATTTGCAAGTCAATTGCTCCTACAAACAAAAAATCCTACTTTTTTGCATTCGCTTTATTTCCTCGTCACAACGCCGAACACTGATGGATGATGAGGCTTATTTGACTTGAAGGTTTTCCTTTCCCCCCCGCGTGGTGCGAGGGGTGATCATTAGTTTCTGTCAAGGTGATTTAAATCTTGTGGCGTTTATTTCACTTAAAATAAGTAAAAACGCTCGTCTACTTTTCCCTCACAATTTATGTGACCTAAACAACGGAAATGACAAATTAAAACCCAGGGTTAAACGAGTTAGAACCACTACTGGATGGTTCAGTGGTTCAACTTTTCCACACCTCTTTATCTGTCATTTTTATCCGAAAAGGCAAAAAATGTCCTATTTTGGGTAATTAGTAAGAATCTGAGAAGAATATCAAATTTC